ACTTTGTTGAGGATTTTTGCATCAATGTTCATTAAGGAGATTGGCCTATAGTTCTCCTTTTTGGAGGTGTCTTTGCCTGGTTTTGGGATAAGTGTAATACTGGCTTCAAAATGTGTTGGCATTTTCCCTTCCCTTTCTATTTCGTGGAACAGTTTAAGGAGGTTGGTATCAGTTCTTCTTTAAAGTCTGATAGAATTCAGCAGAGAATCTATCAGGTCCTGGACTTTTCTTTTTTGGGAGACTCTATTGCTGCTTCAATTTCATTTTGTGTTATAGATGTATTCAGATGATTAATTTCCTCTTGGTTCAGTTTTGCATGATCATATGTATCTAGAAATATGTCCATTTCTTTTAAGATTTTCGAATTTATTTGAATGCAGGTTCTCGAAGTAGTCTCTGATGATTTCCTGTATTTCCATGGTGTTTATTGTTATCTCCCCTTTTGCATTCCTGATTCTACTAATTTGGGTTTTTTCTCTCCTCATTTTAGTCAGGTTTGCCAGGGGTCTGTCGATCTTGTTTATTTTTTCAAAGAACCAACTTTTTGTTTCATTAATTCTTTGTGTGTTTTTTTGGTTTCTAGTTCGTTGATTTCAGCTCTTATTTTTGTTATTTCTCTCCTTCTATTTGTTTTGGGATTTGCTTGTTCTTGTTTTGCTAGGAGTTTGAGATGTATCATTAGGTCATTGATGTGGTATCTTTCAGTCTTTTTAATATATGCACTCATGGCTATAAACTTTCCTCTCAGGACTGCCTTTGCTGTGTCCCATCGGTTCTGGAAGGTTGTGTTTTCATTTTCATTGTCTTCCAGGAACTTTTTAATTTCCTCTTTTATTTCATCAATGACCCATTGTTCACTAAGCAATGAGTTATTCAGTTTCCAGCCATTTGCATGTTTTTGTCTTTACTTTTGTTGTTGAGTTCTAGTTTTATTGTGTGGTGATCAGATAGAATGCATGGTATAATTTCTATTTTCTTATATTTGCTGAGGCTTGCTTTGTGCCCTAGGATATGATCTATTTTGGAGAAGGTTCCATGGGCTGCTGAGAAGAATGTATATTGTATAGAATTTGGATGAAATGTTCTGTAGACATCAAGTAGGTCCATTTGATCTATTGTATATTTTAGATCTAGGATTTCTTTATTGATTTTTTGTTTGGATGACCTATCTATTGATGATAATGGGGTGTTAAAGTCTCCCACGACTACTGTGTTGGAGTTAATATATACTTTTAGGTCCTTCAGAGTATGTTTGATCAAATTGGATATGTTGACATTGGGTGCATATAGGTTGATAACTGTTACTTCCTTTTGGTGTATTTCCTCTTTTATTAGTATGGAATATCCTTCTTTGTCTCGTTTGATCAATGTAGGTTTGAAGTCTACTTTGTCAGAGATAAGTATTGCTACTCCTGCCTGTTTTCAGGGGCCATTGGCTTGGTAAATCTTCTTCCAGCCTTTCATCCTAAGCCTATGCTTATTTCTGTCAATGAGATGGGTCTCCTGTAAGCAACAAATTGTTGGATTTTCCTTTTTACTCCATTTTGTCAAATGGTGCCTTTTGATGGGGAATTAAGTCCATTAACATTAAGTGTTAGTACTGATAGGTATGTGGTGATTCCTGTCATTTAGTTGTCTTAGTTGTTTGAGGTTTGATTGTGTGTACCTAATCAGGTTACTCTCTACTTTCTTGCTTTTTCTTTTCCTGTAGTTTGGTGCTGCCTGCTCTTTCATGGTTATGTTGGGCTTCACTTTCTGTGTGCAGAATCCCTTGAAGAATCTTTTGTCATGGTGGCTTTGTGGTCACATATTGTTTTAGTTTCTGCTTATCATGGAACACTTTTATTGCTCCATCTATTTTGAATGATAGTTTTGCTGGGTAAAGTATCCTAGGGTTGAAGTTATTTTCACTCAGTGTCCGGAAGATCTCACCCCAAGCTCTTCTTGCTTTTAATGTTTCTGTTGAGAAGTCTGCTGTGATTTTGATGGGTTTACCTTTGTATGTTATTTGGTTTTTCTCTCTTGCAGCCTTCAATATTCTTTCTTGGGTCTCTGTATTTATTGTTTTAATGATAATATGCTGTGGGGTAGATGTATTTTGGTCTGGTCTGTTTGGTGTTCTGGAGGCCTCTTGCACCTGTATGGGAATACATTTCTCTAGATTTGGGTAATTTTCTGTTATTTTGTTGTATATATTATGCATTCCCTTTGCTTGTACCTCTTCTCCTTCTTCAATGCCCATGATTCTCAGGTTTGGTCTTTTATGGAGTCAGTGAGTTCTTGCATTTTCTTTTCACAGGTCTTAAGTTGTTTAACTAATAGTTCTTCGGTTTTTCCTTTAATTACCATTTCATCTTCAGGTTCTGAGATTCTGTCTTTTGTTTGTTATATTCTGCTGGACTGGCCTTCCATTTTGTTTTGCAATTCTGTTTCATTCTTTTTTCTGAGGTTTTCCATATCTTGAGTCATTTCCTCTTCAATGTTGTCTATTTTCGTCCTGATTTCATTTATCTCTTTATTAATCGTGTTCTTTGTTCACTTTTATGTTTATACATTGCTTCTATGGTTTCTTTTATTTCTTCTTGTGCTTTTTCAAATTCTCTATTTTTGTTGTATTGGAATTTCTTGAGTGTCTCCTGTACATTTTGGTTGACCATATCCAGTATCATCTCTATAAAATTCTCATTGATTACCTGTAGTATTTCTTCTTTTAGATTACTCTTGTAGGCTTCATTGGGTTCTTTGGCATAGTTTATCTTCATTTTGTTGGAGTCTGGATCTGAGTATCTGTTTTCTTCATTTCCCTCTAGTTCCTGTACTCATTTTTTGCTGTGGGGAAACTGGTGTCCCTGTTTTTTCTGTCTTCCCGTCATTGCCCTTGGTGTTGTTCTTGTCCCTGTACAGTGTGCAATTAAGTATTTTCTAGCTTGTATTAATAACAGTGGTGATATTTAAAATGGAAGGGTGAGAGGAGAGGGAAAGCAAAGAAGTTAAAGAAAGAGGGAAAAACAAGTGAACAAACAAAAAAAATCAAAACAAACAAACAAAAATAGTTTCAAAGATATAAACAGGGAGAGATAGTGTACTAATCAACAGTAAGCCAAATAGGCATTAGAGAGACAGAAAGAGGATTGAGGAAAATAAATATATAAATAAATACATACATCCATACATAAAAATAAAAATAATAAATAAATAAATCTCCAAGTTCAAATGCAATAAAGTTTCAGTCTGAATAATTTTGGTGTTAATCCCTCAGCCTGCAATCCTGGAGATGGTGTCTCAGAAGTAGTTCTGTCGTTGTCTCATCAAAGGGGAAAAAAACCAAACCAAACAAAACCAAACCAAACAAAACAAAAAACACCACAAAGTGTCCCAAGTTCAAATGCAATACAGTATAAGTAAGTTTTTCAGCATGCAGGTATAGTTCGGTTGTTGTCTCATCAAAGGTAGGGAGAAAAAAAAAAAAAAGCATCTGGAGACATTTCTGTGAATGGCTATCTGAGGCTGTGACTCACCTGCCAGCTGCTGTCAGCCTGCTGTTGCTGGAAGCTTTATTTATGCAGATCTCAGGAATGAGCTTAACACTCACCTAGCCCCACAGGCTTTGTTTACCTAGAGTTCTCCTGGGTGTGACCGCCACTGCTATAAGCTTTCCCCTTTCCAAGCACACTGGGGGAGGTGACACTGCACCGCTCTCTCAGGCCGGCGTGTTTATTTACAGTTCACGTGGGAAGTGGGCCTTCCCCCCTCTCCTGTGGAGTTTTCCTCCCACTACCACTTTTACAAGCTTTCCCACTCTTGATTTCTGGATGTGTGCTGCTGCTCCTGCCTTGTCCGGCTGGCTTGTTTATTTACAGTTCACGTGGGAAGTGGGCCTTCCGCCCTCTCTTGTGGAGTTTTCCTCCCACTGCCACTTCTACAAGCTTTCTTGCTCCTGGTTGCTGGGCGTGTGCTGTTGCTCTTGCCTTCTCCAGCCAGCTTGTTGTTAGGGATTTCCCCTCTCCCCCTTCGGTGCTCAGGGCACCCCTCCCTCTTTGCTACGTGTCTTTTTTGTTGTTATTGCTTATTATTCAGGTTTTTTTCTCTTTTTTCCTGTGTGGGGGTCGGTCTGTCCAGGGGGGCTATGCTGATCTGGCCCAGGGTAGTCTGTGGGAGTACTGTGTGCTGCTTAGCTCACCTTGTGGCCTGCATCTTCCCAAGCCATCTGGGCACTGGTGTCTGGCGGTGGCCCGGGGGCCCTCCTGGTTTCTCCGTTTAACGTGAAGTGGAGATGCTCTGTGCAGGCTGGAGGTGTGGAGGAGTCAAAGTTTTACCTCTTCTCGGTGGTTTTTCCTGTAAGGTGTATCTCCAGCATCTCTCCAAGATTTTACTTTAAGAGGCATGCTTTCTGCTTCCTCCCTCTAGCCTCCATCTTGGGATCCTCTTTTCTGTGGTATTTTTGTGGTTTCTGTCAGCTTCAATCTAATCCTCTCTCAGATCATTTTCCTCTGCCCTGGTTCTCCTAGATTGGAGAACTTTTCAGAGATTATCCAAAGGTGTTCTCCATTCCTTGTTCTCGCTCTAGTTTTGCTCTTCTTTTCCTCTTGGACAACTTATGTTTACCAACTTGAAGTTGTTAGGCTCTTAAGTCAGTGGTTCCCAGACTTTTGGATTTTACATTCTATTAAAGTCTGTTTAGTCCTCCTTCCCAAATCTGAAGACTATGTAGGGTTGCTAAAGTTTCTTTGGAAGTAATTACAGCAAAGTAACACCACATATATTATCAACATCATTTCAGAAGGAAATGTCAACCTTAAAAACCATACATAACACAAAAATGATGTATGATTATATAAAACTTCTTTTTCAAATATTTCAGAAGTATGTAACCTAGGTGGTGAAAGTCCTAACCTCCCCCCGCCCCTGGTATATATGCTTCTAGATTTTGTTCTTGTGCAAATAGTAACAGTATAGTAGTAATCAACATGTTTGTAAATTAGAAGAATCCCACCACTTACCAAAATAAGCCCTGATATTAGTGAGGAAGTGCCTGTCAGAGCCACGTAGAACTTCGGTGTTAACGTGTTCAAAAACATACTTACTGGAAAAAAAAAAGGAGAAAGGAAGAAAAATGAATGAGTATGTCAGTAAAGCCAACTCTTTCCTTCTGGTATAGTAGAAATTCTATTTCTTTAATAAAAAAATTCTATTAATATTGTTAACTCTTACATAGACTCAGAAAACTAGGTGTCAAGTTATATATATCCTGAAAGAAAAAAGTTACATATATATAAAAAGAGGAGCTTTTTAGTTTTTACCACTCCAAACTATTGTTGTGAATGCTTCTCATGGATTTATAACCTGTACATAAGACCCGTTGATGAGTCAATAAGCAGGATTTCAACCTTAGAACAAATGAAGAGCTGGTAGAGTGGCTCTAGTGTAAAGCACCTGCCTAGAATGAATGAAGAATAACCATATTAACTATACTAAGTAGTTTTTAAAGATTACAATACTATGGAACAGGGAAGGATATAAGGAAAGAGCATGGGAAGTGAATATGGTGGAAATATTATGTATACATGTATGAAAATGGAAAATGAGACCTGCTGAAACTATTCTAGGAATGGGGGAGGGGGAATAAAGGAGAATGATGAAGTGAGTGAATTTAGGTATAATATATTTTGTAAGAACTTTTATAAATGTCACAATGTGCCCTCATAACAATAGTATGATAATAAAAAATATTTCAAAAAATATTACAATACTATGTATTGTTACCCCTAAGAAGGAAGGACAAATTGACAAGTTGCATGTATCAGTACATTTTTTCAATTTGCTTGAAAGGTTATTATTGCCATCAAAATTATAGGGGAAAAAGATGAAACATAAACCTCTAAAAATGAAAGTTCACTGTAAGGCACCTTCTTGACCAATTCCCACTACTTTGTTCATATCAACTACATAATTAATCCAGTTGCTTGTCAATGGTGTTGTGTCTTATATACATTTTAAGTCATTTTAGTTAGATACTAAACTCTTATTATTTCTAAAACAACAGACTTAATGCACTTTTGCAATGATATTTATATTTCCTTAATGAATTTGGCAGAAAATCACATCCTGTCTGGTTTTAGAATGGTTTTTAGAGGTAGGACTATTCTGAGCTCAGCTCAGAAAACAAAGAAGTATCACAAAAGTGAATGAAGATCCCATATCTACTCATTCAACAAACATTTCTCTCTGCTTATGAATGAGACCATAGATGAAGAATCAAAGAATGACTCAGGCACAGTTCCCACCCTCTAGAAGTCCACAGTCCAGCTGGGAAACACACAAGTAAACAAGCAACTACTATAAAGTTTATTAAGTGTATAGTCAAACTATGTGCACAAGATGTTATAAATATACATAAAAGGGATGCATCCTGGGTTTGAAGGTTAGAGAAGATATCCAGGAGAAGGGGACAGCTAAATGAAGTCCTGAAGAATATGTACGAGTTAACCAGACCGAAGGCAATAGGAGAGGGATGAGAGGGCAATTGGAGCAAAGGGACCCGCTTCTTGGTGCTGAGAAGAGAGCTCAGCTTTCCTAAGCAAATTCAAGTGTTAAGGATGGAAGGAGCTAAAGCAACAATCCCTTTGCAAAGACTAGGATGGGGAAGGGTGCACTGATTTCCTTCATCCTTGCTACCCCAGGCATCCATAAGCCCTCCTCCCTCTGCAACCATGTTAAGTGAATTTGTTTTGGCTTTTGTCTGTGGTTTGCAATCACCAGCAAAGTGCTTAGTCAACATTCAAGATCTGAACTCAGTGTAATCTTCTAGGCAGGCAAAGGAAGTTGTCAAAGTAGTGACCAGCCTGGGTCCATAAGACAAGAGGAGGAAGGCACAGTTAAGTTGAGGAGGCTTTGCTTTGCCTTAAAAACAAAAAAAAAAAACCACATAGTGATTTGTCATTTCCCGTGCAACGGTCAATTACTGGAAGGAAGGAGGAGATTTTTTTAAAAGAAAAAAGTCCTACAGCTTTCAACTGCCAGTCTGAATCTAAAGTGGTCAAAATTTGCAAAATCCCCCTTTTCACACTGTAAATAAACCCACATTCCTTATTATTAAAAAAAAAAACCACCAAAACAAAGTATTTGCTTTATTATTCTGAATTATGAACATTCATATCTGCACTATACACTTTTTAGTAGGTTTCTCAGAAACTGAGCACAGAAGTCAATGAAACCCATTTCTATAAGAAAGAGAAAAAGATCAAGCTGAATTAGAATTGCTTTAGTGGCTCCACTCTTAACTCCCTAGCAATACAGACATAAAAAACAATAGAAAAAGATTTTTCTACTGAAAATCACTGATCCACAGGAGGTAGAGATGCAAAATGTAATTGACAATGAAAAAAACAGTACTTGTATTTCTTAAAGAGATAAAAATAACATTCCACTCACCTGTTTTTATTTAATATTAAATAGCAGTAGTAATTAATAATTTAAATGTATTTCTCTGTTATATCCACTTATAATAGTAAGCTGGCTGGAATTGAGAGAGAGAATGGCTTGCATTTAAAAAAATAGAGGCACAAATAGAGAATTAGAGAAGTAGCAACAGATACATCTAGAAAGGAAGAAGGTGATTATTTAATGTCTTGTTAGTCTTACTGGATATTTTGGTTAAAATAACAGCATCTTTACTCTCTTCCTCAGAATGACCCTGTGACAGACAAACACTAATGTGACCCAATTATACTCACCCTCCTGGTATTCATTCCTTTTTTAAGCTCCCTCTTCTTGAATGTGGTTGGGACAGAGGACTTGTTTCTAGCAAACTGTTATGTCTGGTGGCAGACATAGCAGAACTCACCCTACTAGCTTAATGGAGTGGCCATGTTGACAAGCCCATGTGGAAATGAACTGCAGGCAACCTCCACAACTGCCATTAAAAAACTGAAGTCCTTTGCTCTACAGCAGTAATTTCTGCCAATGGCCTCAATGACCTGAAAGCAGCTTCTCTCCTAGCTGCACACTGAAATCTCAGCCTGGTTAGTATCTTGATCATAGTCTTGTGAGAGCCAAAGCAAAAGCATGAGACCCAGCTAAGCCATGTCTGCCCTAAACTCCTGAATGTGTGTTGTTTCAAGCAGATATATTTATGGTAACCTATTATGCAGTAATATAAAACTGATGTAGCCATCAACATAACAACTTCTGCCCCACTCCAGAGGAACTAATACAGAAACCTTAAAGCAACAGAGGTCAACATGAGAAGGGGATCAGGAACCAGTGTAAAGATCAGTTAGAGATGAATCAACTTGGGTTGTAACACACTTGTACATGAAAGCAATGCTAGGAATCTCTGTGTACAGCTGTCCTTATCTCAACTGGCAAAAACACTATGTCTTTCTTATTATTGCTTATTTCTACTCTTCAACAGAACTGAAGAAAAGCACAGTACAGGTTCTGCCTGGAAGCGAGGGGGGAGGGAGGGAGGAGGGTGGGGGTGGAGGGCAGGGGGAAGAAATGACCCAAACAAGAGTACGCACTTGTGAATAAATGAATAATAATAATAATAAACAACTTGTGAAAGTCAACATGAATATTTGATAATGCTGGCTAATTGCAGTATACCCAAAAAGGGTATAGGAAAGGCCAATTCTATGTGTACCAAGAGCTTCTTTCTTAACTACTTGTAAGTAAAATGTAGTTTCTATCTCTGCTACCGTAACATGTTATTCCATGCACTGATATATAATCTTCTTAAAATATTAAAGTAGAAGCCAAAAAGAACTTTTTAAAATATGGAAATATATCTTCAAAATATCCCAGTAAATGATCTTTTTTCGCTAGGCATAACTTAAATGTACATTGTATGATTTTTAAAGGATTGATAAGGAATAAAAGCATACCATAAGCGCTTCTCATTTGTTGCTTCTGCCTCTCTTTTCCATGCTATTCTCCCTGGTCTCTTTGGGTTGATAAGAGCTCAAGCTTATATGTATCACAATTCCCTCGATAAATCCCTTGGCACTTATCTTTGTGAGGAAAAAAACATGGCGGTATATTTTTAGAACCATTCCTATGGCAAGAAACCCTCATAAATCATTCTGTCTACTCTTAATGTTGCCTTGGCAACGTCACAGGTATCCTGTTTCTGCTTTCCTGGACATCTGGCTCCACTGAAGAATGGAGCTGAGCACATTCTTTCTTTTCTCAACTGTGGTCTAAGAAACAACATTGGAGCAGACCATATTGATGCAACCAACACAGTACTCACTCTTCATGTCACCTTCTCCCTTCCTGGAGGGCAGCCATCTGTCAACCTTCCCTCTCATCATGAAAGACTGCCCACGGCCTCATCACACACAGCCTTAATAATCCTAAAGGACAAGTGAAGCAAAATCTCAGACTCTCTGTTCTCTTTTATTTACAAATAGGTTATAATGAGGAAACTCCATCCTGGTCAAGAACAGGAAAAGGTCTGTCTAGGGCTTCGTAGCCATAGTACCTGTACCGTGAGCACTTCTTATTGATAAATGGAAAAGTACTCACAGGACTTCTTACTGATAAATGGAGAAAGTCTCAGTTATTATGAGATACTATCCTCTTATAGCAAGCCTTTGGCTCAGTAGAATCCTTAGAAATTAGTCATTTGGCATAAAGAGTTCTCCTTTCAAGCACCAAAGAGACTTTTCTTTTTAAAGCAATTTTAAAATCTTTCCAAAATGCATCATATACTTAATTGCACTATTAAAAAGTATGCTCTCAACATATTTCAATATTTCCTTGGAAACTCTAATCTACCAAAATGCATATAAACTACAGTACTGTGATAGCAGGCAGCCTTGTTTCCAGATATTGTTGCTGTACTCCAGGTTATTTCCCTCCAAAACTAAGTGATCCCAGACAGATGTACGCTTTGAGTCTTTTCACACTATTTAGTTTTGTCATCTGACATGCCATTTTTCATTGTGTGCCTGCTTCAAACTGCTTTCTCTTCTTTTTGATGTGTTACTTAAAATCTGTTGACTTCAAAGGCAGGTAACCTGCTTGGTTTTCCAATAGCTATGTATGTTTAATGTGTGCCAGGCACTTTGTAGAATGCTGGGAATACAAAGATGTACAATACATAGTTCTTATCATTACAGACCTCTGGGTTTTATGGGAAAGGCAGATATGAACACAAATTAACAGGCAAGTAAAATTCTGAGTGTTGCTGTGAAAATATAGAGTGGGTGCTCCAAACTCAGCCCTGAGTTGGGGTAGGAGACAGAATGTTCCTTTGAAAAGGCTGGTAACCAAAAGAACTTCCACTAGAATCATGGAAAATAAGACCTCTGAATGTCAAATAAGAGGTCCTCTTGGTAATCATTTGACACTGATCTATAGGTGCTCTACACACTGGCCTTCTTTTTCTTACTTAGTGCTTGGTGGTTTGGGGAGCTGAAATGACTGCTGAGTTCTTGAAAAGGTGTCACTGGAGTGAGCTATAGTACAAATTCTCTTCAGGTGGCTTTAGGGAGTAATGTAAAAGAACGCTTTTAGAAGTTCTAGGGTTGACACTGGAGTGCACCATGCTTCCCACAGCATCAGCCATGGAAAATGTGCTAAGAGCTTTCCATCATCTTCAGAAGAGCTTGGTCACTAAATTCTCATTTACTCTTTCTTTACTGGAAGTTACACAGAAAAATATTACAGAAACCTTAGTGGTTAGATTTAGGAAGCTTACATGCTGCAAAACTAAATGCAGTTAATTCATTACTTAACGCAATGAAACAAACGTAGCTACCTAATTAATAGAAGGTTCAAAATACTGGCAGCAGTCAGTTGCCTAAACAGGTAATTGTTAAATGTAAATGCATGGAAATAATTAAGAAAAGCAAGAAGAATATCAACAGAATAATGGAACAACATTGATATTCTTAAATCTTTCAATAAAGACTCTAATTTGTTAATATTAGCTAGTTTGTTCAATTATCCAAATGGTACTTAGCTTATAAAAAGTTTAAGTTACTTAACCAGCAAGCTATAAGATGATAATGAGATTTTTCCTTCCCATTGAGAAGGGAAAATAGGATGTTCATACAAATAACACAGGATATTTATGAAACATATCAGCAGAGATAAAATATAGAGGAAGCAAATATTACTTCCAGGAAGGCAGATCAGAGAAGGATAATGAATGGAATGTCTTTCCTTTTGGGCTTTGAAAAAAAAAGGCTAAGGTTTGAACCTGAGGTCAGGAAGGAAAATAGAGACGGCATGGACTTCAGGTAGATAATACAGGAAATACAAAGGGATTAGGCTGGAGAACAGGGTGGATGAGGAGAAGCAGTGGAAGAGAATGCTGGCTCAAATGCCAGGGTAAGAAAAGTGAACTTTTCATTGTCAGTAATCAAACTGAGGGCCTTATGCATGTTAGGCAAGCATGACAGCACTGAGCTACAACCCAAACCCGAAAAGTGGACTTTGTGTTGCAGGCAATGAGAAGATACCACTTATGAACACAACTGTGGCTAAGACAGATATGTCTGGCATTAATGGAGTAGTGGATAAAATGGACAACTTTGGGAATTATCTCAGAGGAAGCTCCTGTAATACCATTAAGGTGGGGAGTTGGACAGATCAAATGTTGCAGGGGTAAATTCAACAGGATGTAGCTCTTGACCATATGAGATAAAGGATGAGAATCTGGAGAACACTGTTGTAGTAGGATTAATGTCAAATTGCCAGATGTTAGAGACAGCGAGTGGTGAGGAAATTAAAGGAGCATGCAGAGACTATTTTGACAGGAAGTCAGGCAGTAAGAAGATAATATTATCATGATGTGTGACTCAAAAGGAACTAGAAATAAGCTAGAAAATGAACTATGAATAAAACTTAAAACTTCATTTCACTGTAATAAGAACAAATAGGCCTTCTAAGAAAGATAATACTAGTTTATTCTCAAAACAAATATTTAAAAGATGAATTGTTAATCATTAGAAATGTATTGACTTCCTCTGAGATTATTCTTCTTTATTTTTCGTGGTACTGGAGTTTGAACTCAGGGCCTGGAGTTTGCTAGGCAGATGCTCTACCACTAGAGCCAGGCCCAGCCCCGAGATTCTTTTTATATATAAATACTGAAACACAGTGCAGCACTTTAATTGACTTGATTTTGAACCTGATTACTACACATATGTATATCTCTATTTTAATAGCTGGGATTATATAACAAAATAAAAACAATTCTGTTCTATTCTATCTATGCTGGTTTTTATGCTTTCTATTAATTTACTTCCTTTGTTTTGAAACCCCCTACTAACTTGGAGTTGAAGAATTTGCCTCAAAGAAGATAATAATTTGGGCCAGAAAAACAAGTATAGACCTTTGGGCAATAAAACTCAAACTTGATTCTAAGTTCAGTTTTTCTTTTCGTTACACTCTGTAAATTCCCTCTCTGTTGAGGAGAAAGTTGCCCCACAGAAGATGGGCTTGGAAGGCTGGATAAGCTATCTCCCTCTAGATAAGGATGCACAACCCAGAGATAAGAAACCACAGGAGAAACCACCAGACAGGCCAGTATTTCACTGTTCATTGCTCTGACTGCCTGATTGTCCGAAATAAGCTGTTGGCTTCATTATTTTCAATTCTACTAACTACAGTTAGCTTTGCATTTGTACCAAATGACCAGTACTGTTCTCTCCAGGTCCAGGGCTGTCAGTGTACTGTGAAGGATAAATCACAAATACACCTGGCTTTACATAATGTCTTCAGGTAACAGTCAGTAGAAACTGAAATGTTGATAGTTTTGAACAGCAGTAAACCAGTTTCTTAAAAAATCCAGGAAAAGACACATCTAAATTCCAGATACTCTCTGTGTCCCAAATACAAATGCTGCCAGTCCAGTGGATGACATCTTTCTGTTTCAGCTCTAGTCTTATTAATCACAAATGCTTTTCAGACATTGCCATCCCTGCTTGTGAATGATCCATCTATGTGTTATGCAGAAAACAAATTGCATATTATTAATTAGCAATTGCCTAGATCTATAGTACCCAGGCAGTTCTCCTCTAGGTGGACCAGTAGTTGATTAAAACCCAAGGTTACTAAGGCAAAAGACATAGGTCTTTATGAAGCAGGTAACCTCACACCAAGAAATTTTGTGCTACATTTTGAAGGTAGCTATATTAGAAATGGGTATTGCCAATGGGAAGCAAAGCATCACATTACTATAAAAATGACCCCAACTAAAAATTTTAAAAACTGGTATCAGTTAGTTGTTTCTTCCTAGTTTTTTAAAACATGCCATTGGTATTTTAACAGGGATTACATTGAATTTTATACACACACACACACACACACATAACAAAAGCAGTCTTGAACAAAAAGAACAAAGCAAGATGCATTATCATAGCTAATTTCAAAATTATACTACAAAACTGTAGTAATAATAATAATACTAATAAAATGAATATTGGCATAAAAAACACACAGAGCAGAACAGACAGCTTAAGAAGTAAACCCACATGCTAAGAACACACATCGGAAAAAGGACAGTTCTTTCAATAAATGGTGTTGGGAAAAGTGGATGGTCACACATGAAAGAATGAAGCTAGACCCCTAACTCTCATCAGTTATAAAAACCAACTCAAAATGGATTAAAGACTTAAATGTAAGGCCTGAAACTATGAAACTACTAGAAGGAATTATCAGAGAAATGCTTCAGGATATGAAGAGATAGCTTCATCCAGAGCACGGGCAACAAAAGCAATGCTAGACAAACGGATTACATCAAAGTAAAAAGGTTCTGCACAGCAAATGAAATAATTAACAATGAAGAGACAACCTACAGCATGGGAGAAAATATTTGCAAACTGTTCATCTGATAAAGGGTTAATACCTAGAATACATAAGGAACTGAGATAATCCAACAGCAAAAGCAAAAGAAAACCAATAAATTTAAAAATTGGCAATAGACCTAAATAGTGATTTCTTAAAAGAAGATACACAAATGCCAACAGGTATGTGAAAATAAAAAATCCAACATCACTAATCATTAGGGAAATGCAAATCAAAACTAAAATGAGATATCTAAGTTTGAATAGCTATTGCCAAAAGACAAAAAAAAAAACAATTGCAGAGAATGTAGAGGGAGCCCTTGCACACTATTGGTAGGAATGTAAATTAATAAAGCCATCAGGGAAAACAATATGAAGGTTCCTCAAAAAGTTAAAAACAGAACTATGACTCTAGACTCATAGTTCAGTGGCAGACTGCTTTCCTAGCTTATACAAGGCCTGGGGTTCAATCGTCAGCACAGCAAAAAGATATTTTTAATTTAAAAAATTACATAAATAAAAACAGAACTATCACATGATGCAGAAATCTTACTACT